AATGCAATTTAAGGGGATATATCTATGATCCTTTCTATCAGCATTAGCTCTTAGGACTTGCTGATGGACAGGATGCACTTGACTTGTGCAAACAGAAGTTTTGAGGTGGGCACAAAAAGTCTCAAGTACATTGACTAAACTAGATCATAAGCATAAAAAATAAACTGTAAATAACAGAAACTCTTCTTTTCTGTGAGTATTTAAAATTGAATTTAGGGGTATTCCTTGTATATAGAACATCATCATAACCATGCACATTAACCCATTCCCGCCGGGCATGCCATGCCATGGCCACTGTGAGATTACTTGTTAGATTGTTTTCACACATAGATGGCTAGACTTGTACTAAATTACCAATGAGCCAGTTACGAGTACCGCCTGTCTCGCCCGTTCACCCTTTTCTTTGATTTACAAAATATTTTATGGTATCTTATTTTGCTGTTACTAATGTTAAAAAACATTATAAAAATTACAATGTTTATGATAAAAATAACACCATTGATATTCATGGCACTAGTGAAAAATACGTGTTTCAAATCAGGCGTTAACAGAGCCATCTATGGGCAGACATTTAACAAAAAAGTATAGAAAATAGGCACAGCATTTTCCCCATTTTTTGTTCATTTTCCCCGGCGGCAATGGGTTAATAAAAAATATAATTATTTCTCAAAATTTTCACCATAACATGAGCTTGTGTTCACCTTGAAAACTAATAGTATTTGCTGATCTGATTGCCTTGAAAGTAATTCAGATACCACACAATACAGTTTATGATTGTAGTAAAGCTCTTTTTATATTGTGGAAGTGCTTAGATCTTTACCAGACTCAAAGTAAGACAAAAGTAATTCTTATTCTATATACCTGATTAATAAGGTTAATATGAAAGTGGTCCCTGCAAAAAAAAAAAAAAAAAAAAAAAATTGCCGAATATATATTTTTTTATAAACTATGAAACTAACCCTTCCTTCATGGATCTCATCAATTCATGTTGAGGCATAAATTGGCCCCATTATTGGGATTTTTGTCCATGATTAATAATACCTTCATTCATCTGCTAATCTTGGTAGGTCTACAGTACAGTGGTCATTTAACCATTAGAACTTTATTCCTTTATGAAACCCAGAATATTCATCAAAATGTAAAAAAGTCCTTGTTGTAAAGTACATTGACATTATGCAACTGAAACTATAATCTCAACATATTTGAAAATTTAACCCATTGCTGCCGGGGAAAATGAAAAAAAATGGGGAAAATGCTGTACTCATTTTTTATATTATTGTGAAATATCTCTGTACATACATGCTAGTCCTGATTTCACTTTTCTTTGAATTGGCGGGAAAAAATGTATTCTTACTAGTGCTATAAATGTAGATGGTGTTATTTTCAACAACAAATTAGGATAACGTTAAATATTTTCGTAAACTGATGAAAAGGGTGAACGGGCGAGACAGGCAGTACTCGTAATCGGCTCACTGGTGACTTAGTACAAGTGTAGCCATTTATGTGTAAAAACAATCAAACAAGTCGAATAACAGTGGGCATGGCATATACAAACATGCCATCCCTGGCGGCAATGGGTTAATTGGAAACTATCGAAAGAGAAAGCACTATGATTACTTACTGATTTGGTATATTAAATTATCAAGGAAACCTAATTTGCATAAATGCAACATAAAAGATTTTAACAAGGACATATTCAAGTTTCATTAGAATAATTTACAAGATGGAATATCTTGTGAAACTGTACACCACCATTGTCATCAATGCTGTGTAACATCTAGCACATTTTGGAAGGGTTAATGTTGCTTGTAATTTCTAACTACAGAATACAGGAGATAATGTATGTTCCCAAATAAAACAGCACGTTTTAACCCATTGCATCTGTGTACCTCACACACACCAAAATTCAACCATTAGATGTGTAGTTTGTAGGCCCGGCCCACTCAAACCCTTACGTGAGGTATCAAGACTCCTGGGCTCCCCTTCACAATATGCTCTTTCTGCAGAAACACTTTTAGATCTTTTCTCATTTTCCAGGATTAATGGTTAATGGTTAGAAGAAATAAATGTGCTAGACATCAAAGGTCATATAGCACTATAGTAAAGTATGGCAGCAAAAAGGGTAGAAATGAGTTAATGATCATGATAAGATGTGTTAAATGTCAAATGTAGAATGCTGTAGGAAAGAATGGGAGTGAATTTTATTTATTTACTGAAAATATCTAAGGCCATTAGCGGCATATTCAAAATATGGTGATAGCGTAAGGCTTGGGGACAAAGCGTCCAGGCAAGGAAGTGTTATATGACATGAAAAGTCATATGATGCTGTGGTAAAGGAGAGTAGTGAAAAGAGTTAGAAATGGGTTAATGATTAGGATAAAGTTACAGGTTGAACAGTAGTAGAGGGTAGTGAAAAGGGTCAAGAGGTGTATAGTGTAAGGTATAGGTTGTTTGAAGGGGAAGGAGTTAAGGGAATAGGGAGCATTATGATAAAGTATTA